GGCAACCCGTGGAGTATTTCAGCCACAGGGTGCCTCCCATCAACTCACTTGATGATGCAAGGAAGGAGCTGCTTGCGTTCATGATGGCTCTCAAGCGATGGCGGCACTTCCTCCTTGGGCGTCTTAGGTTCACATGGGTCACTGACAAGAACCCGTTGACCTACTACAAGACGCAGGATACGGTGAGCAGCACGATCGGATGATGGATGTACTTCATCGACCAATTTGACTTCACACCGAAACATCTTCCCGGCCTCTCCAATCGCGCAGCAGATGCACTCTCGCGAAGACCCGATCTTTGCGCCATGACACATCATGCCTTCGCATTCAACGACGAACTCCAGTGACACTTCATCCGGGGCTACGAGCCCGATCCGGATTTCGCCACGCTGTATGCGCAGCTATCTTCGGATCACCCGCCGGCCAACCACTATCACATCGTCAACGTGTACTTGCTCCTCCACTCGTGAGGCAAGGACTTATTGTGTTCTTCGGACTCGCCTCCTCGGCGAGTGCCACGACTCGCGACTCGCTGGCCATTTCGGAGACAATTGGACTATCGCACGACTTCGGCAACGATTCCGGTGGCCCGACCACATTACCAATGTCCCTCGGTATTGCGACTCTTGCGAAGTTTGTCGTTGAAGCAAGCCCTGCAACCGCAATCCCTACGGCGAGTTACGCCCGTTGCCTATCCCACGGGAACCCGGCCTCTCCATTGCCATGGACGTCACCGCTCCGTTTCCCCGCGATCGACTCGGGCACGATGGCATCCTCACGGTCGTTGACCGATTGAGTAAATATGCACGATTTCTCCGTTGCAAGTACCACACCACGGCTCCCGAACTTGCGTGCCTCTTGCACACCGGCTGGATCTGCAGCCAGTGCAGGAATCCGGCACCAAGATGAAACCAAGTTCGGCTCGGCATCCACAAACGGACGGGCAAACGGAGCAGGCACATTAAACCGCTCAACTGATGCTTCGTACGCTCATCCGTCCGGATCAGAAGGATTGGGTTGACCGCCTCCCCAACATCGAGTTCGCTTCGTTGCATCCGGCGATCGGTGTGACTCCATTCGAGTTGCACCACGGTGGCCGGAAAGGCCGTATCTTCGCTGATCTTCTCCTTCCACGAACAGCCGACATAGACGCCGCTTGCTCTCCCGCTTCCGTCCGGAAGTACAGGCAACTGCTGGCTCAAGCCCGAGCGAACATGCAAAAGGCTCAAGTCCGCATGCAGCAGCAAGCCAACAGGCGTCGCGTGTCATGTCCGATCCGTGCGGGCGATCTGGTTTGGGTCTCCGCGGAAAAGTTTGCTCCCGAACAGGATGTTTCGCGCAAGCTACTCCCCAAGTGGTTTGGACCATGGGCCGTCCGTTCAGCCGCAGGCGACGAGCCCGACGGCCCATCCTTTGTGATCGACATCCCTCCGCATGTGCCGGTCCACCCGGTCTTTCACGCCTCGAAGCTGGCAACATATACACCGGCTAAGAGCGACGACTTCCCGGGCCGATGATCGCAAGACCCTCTGTCTATGGATGGTCATCAGGAAGTCGACCGCGTCATCACGGATCGCAAGTACGGCAGCAAGCCTCGACAGTACAAAGTTACCTTCAAAGCATGCGATCCCGACGACACTCGATGGATTTCAGGAGCAGATTTGAAAGCATCCGCATTACGAACGGCAAAGGTTAGCGAAGGAAGTTTCACGACCTGCCCCTCCCACCCAGATTTGGTCCCTCCCTCAGACAGGCAGCTTCGCCCTCGCAGGTAAGCTTGGTCTTTCAAGGAGGGGGGGGTGTGGCATACTGTGCAGCCACACGGGCCTGCAGGGCCCGACCAGACGGAAAATAAGGGCCCTACAGGCCCTGTGTCGTTTCAGCCTAAAAGCCTGAAAACGAGGGCCATTTTCAGGCCCTCATAAAGTCGACCTGCCCTGAAACTCAGGTGCCAGACCAGGGTTCCGCGCAGGCCATTTTGGGGCCTGTTTCAAGATATGTTGATAATAAATTACAAAGTTTGAATTTAAAAATTAGTGAATTTCAACTTTCTTGCAAATCAACATTTTCTCATTCGATTGATTCATATGATTTCTTTTTCAACTGGATAAAAGAATTGTGCTACAAAGAATATAATAAGCACATGTTTGTTTTAATCTATAGTAAAGTACCTAGAAAACTAGATCCAGGATTATTTTTTTATATAAAACAAATCTTTTATATCAAGAATTTAGATCCATGTATTTCTTATAATTCATTTCAGCTATTTACTTCTCTTGTTTGAACTTCAACGCCAGGGTCTGGCATGTTTTGGCATTGGCAAGAGCAGCCTCCTGGACGGGCCAGCACTATATAGAACTGGCCCGCCCTGCAGGCTGCAGGTAGTGCATAGGGACCTCCCAGGCAGTTCACGGGCACTTCACGTGCAGGAGGCAGGAGGCAGTCTTCAGGATTCGGCAGCAGCACTCTGGAGGAGCGCCGCAGTAGTAGTACTAGCGTTAGGAGTAGCCAGGGAGACTTCCCTGTGGCGCCATAGCTCCAGCTTCGTCTTTGATGTACCTGCAACAAGGCGCCCCCTTTACAGGTTAGTACCGGACACAGAGAGAGAGAGAGAGAGAGAGAGAGAGAGAGAGAGAGAGAGAGAGAGAGAGAGAGAGAGCTTGGTGACTTTGGGACTTGACGACATTTGGATCCAGACTCGACATTGGGATT